GGAGTGCGCCCCAAACTTAACGCCTCCACTTGAACACCCGACTTTCGCGGAGCGGCGCTATCCTGGCGGTGGCCGTTTCAACTGCTCGGTCAGGTGAAGGCCATTCCCAAACTCCGGACCGGGGGAAAGGGAGGTAGCAGGGCCGCCGCTAAGGGCCCTTGACTCTGCGAATCACAGACTCATATCGTCGGAATCGCGTTTTTTTATTAAATTTTTTGTGTGTTTTGTTTGCATTTTAGCAGCGCCTTCAAGCTTTCTCCATTACAATGCACTATCGAAAGTTCTTCGTTATCAGTCTTAAAGGCAAAAAATCATGTCCGCGTTCGGTGTTTTCCCGACAGCTGCTGCTTCGGCGTTGAAAAGATCAGTTCTTATTTTCTTATCTTCTTTTACCAGAAGTTCCAAATTCAAATTTTAGCAAAACAATGGGATCACAAAAGTTGCTACAAGATCCTTCAAGTTATTTTTTATTTTATTTTCGCGAGCCGTTTTAGCGTACAATTTTGTTTTGTGGCACCCTGTATATGTATACATGCGCTGTATATCCCACTCAGATGACAAGCCGTAGTGCTGATTTATCTACATCGCCTCCTAGGGGCCAACGCGGGACACAGATTAGACTCGACTGCTCCATCAGTTGGAACCGTGTCACATGTTTTCACTGGCTTAAGACCACTGTCCGCCGAACGCTGACGTAGAACTCATGTACACTATGTGTCCCGTGCTGGCATTCAGCAGGTTACGGATGACATTCAACACTACTACGGCTTTCTACTATCAATATTCAATTACGGGTTTAGAATTCAGCAAAATGCTCCGCCCCATAGGTGTAATGCGTCCACTGCGAGAGCATCGAATAACGAAAAAAGTAGCGCGTCGACTGCTCAGCGACATGGCGATATTGGCGACGTCGGTTTCACGTGCGAGGCGAAGCGAGCCCAGATTGCCGTTTAACGAACGGGACGACATCGTCGTCACTTTGCAAATCTAGTTATTCCGTAAAAGACAAAGGTGTGGAAGATTTTCCATCTTTCACTGTCGAAGTTGACGGCGGGAACACCTTCGTCTGTGGTAATTGTGGACCGAGGCAATTCCAACTTACCCGGTTTACCATCCGAATAATAAAAGCGATGAGACCTGGCAAGGAAGCGAATTTCAAGAATAATTAATGTGTTTTTCAAATCGTCGTATCAGTAGGCATCTTTTATTTATTAAAGCGAAGAGGGCCATGCTGCCGTTTAGACAGCATGGCCTGTCGTCACTCCAGCATTTCACTCCGCCTATCGATTCGATAGGGGTGACTGCAGCGTTGTGACGCGGCTCCCAAATTACCACGAAGAAACGCGCACACCACCGCAATCTAGTGACGAACACTGTCTCAGGTGCGAACGCTAACGAAACAAAAAATAGCCACAGCCATAGAGGAAGCGTCCGCGGAAATGTACAGGTGAGGCTTGTGCGATTGCCCCAGTGGTGCACCGGAGCATTCCGACGTCATTTACACGATTTTTGAATTTTCACATCGTCACACAAGAGCTACCGCGAAGAAACGGTCACATAGCCACGATTTTGCACTGCGACTTGTATCCGGTGCGAACGCTAAACGTATGAAGATGCGCGATTGGCATCCCTTCCGTCGCTCTCGTTGAGAGAGGCTTACGAGATCGTCCAATCGAAGATCCCGAGCAAGTCGTCTGAAACTAAGTTGGCCTCGGGTTTCATCAGTGATAAAACCCGTTTGCTCTACTGACGTCTAACCCCTGGTTAGCTGAGTTGGTAGAGCGCTCCACCTGTAATGGAGAGGTCCCGGGTTCGATACCGGGACCAGGCGGATTTTTTCGGTCGCGCACCAGTCACATATAGCTGTGTTTGCAGATTTGGGTTTGTCCCCTTTGTTCCCCTTCTCCAGAGATTATTTTCATCATTCTTGTCCAGCTCGCTTGCACCTTCACAATTAATTGCATTCTAATTATAACTTAGGGGCAACTGGCGGGTTTTTGACCCTTATTCAAGCATTAGCAAACCAAGAAAACAGTTCGGCTCACTTTAAAAAAGACGTTCCCATTCCCGGTAGATCTAACGCCAAATGAATATAAAGAATAACCCTACACAACTTGCCATAAAATGGTCCTCATTTTTGGACGTGTAAGAAAAAAATGACCACATAAAGGAAGGTTGTCGCCTCAATCAATTGCATAATGATGCATTTTATGATAAACGTGTTCATGGTATGGCTTGTTTCTGAACTTATTTAGTTTCATATATGGTCCATCTTCGTTTGCTTATATTTAACCTTATATCTCCGGGAGTGTTCCCTCCCCAGTGAGATGTGCTCGTGTTCGGGGCTAAGTTAAATTATTGCTGCCCCTCAAACAATAATCTGTGCCTCATGGCTATGAACCGTCTTGTTTACATTCTGTTCACGCTTGAATATTTATTTACAATAAAATACACCATTTCTGTTTTGCTTTCTGCGAAAAAAGACGACAAACATATCATAATTCGATGAATAAGTTTTCTATTGAAAGGTTTATTTTAGACATCTACAAAACTGGAAGCTACCCTGTATCCTCTTGAAGCTTGATGAGAGGGTTGACTTTGCCTTTCATTTTTTGTCTAGTTATTTTTAGAAGCTATTCAAACTTCCATTAGAAAACTCGTTAAAAGAATAAGACGGGATCGAACTTGCAATTATTGGAGTGCAAATCTTTAGGAAAAAGTCCCGTTTGCTGTCCAATCGTGTGAGACGCGGAAATATTCAACAACCCGGTCTCTCACCCATGTGATAAAACTGGATACTTGACTTTTTAATTTACAATCAGAACTAAAACAATTTGATACTCCAAAAACATACTGCCAAGAAAAAAAAAAAAACGGAGTGGAATTGTTTGGTTTGAATTGACTGGCCCGAGGAGACCCCAGAGCCCTCGCTGTTCATAACCTCAACAAGGAAAATACCCATTTGTAAAGCGCGTAATAAAAAAAAATCTATTGTACAAAATGGACCACACCCGCACACACAATGATTTTTTTTTTCGTGCGGAGTAATACTTTGTGACACGGAATCATTGGTGGCTGCCACGTGGAGTCTAGCGAGTACGCTCACGGAATGACGCCATTGTTTAGGGCGTCAGCCCTAGTGTTGGTCAGACAAATTTCTAATTTCTCGAAAAAGCAAGCTTGTTTGATTAATTTCATTAGAACTATGTTCCTACAAAGAAATGCAATCTCATTCAGAAAAAAAAGTCACAATAAACGGGTGCCTTGAAATAGTAATCGTATGAACTATGGTTACCTTTTTACGTACTTTCCAAATATTATTTGGTTGGAGTTGGCAAGTAACTAAATAGATAACGTTTCTGTCGGGAGTATTCCAATATATTGCAAATCAGTGACGTGTAAAATACCTTTAAAATTAACGGATCACCAACTGGTTCACTTCGTTCGGAAAGAAGAGTTGCCCCCGAGAACGGAATCTGAGATGACCGTGCCGTCGTTGCGGTTACACCTTGAAAGCAAGGAATATTCTTTTTTAATCAGGCAGCGTTGAAAAATTCCGGCTTACAAAAGGTAGAGCGATAACTTGATATTCGTCTAATAACTGCATATTTAACTAAAAACAGGAACACATGAGTGGATATATGCGGGTTATCGTATGAATGTAAATGTTCTTATAACTAAGCTGGCAAGTAGTGCACTCTCGTACGGTAGAAACATTAACAATCGTATGTAGTTCTTAAAAAATGATCTAAGACATTTAGGTGCAAATCGATATGATACCCAACATCAGGAAAGCGAAATTATGTTTATTTTATTGAAAAACGGCTAAAAAGAATTTGTTTAATTTAGATACCGAGCTAACCGCAAAGACGTTATGGTAGACCGCGCACAAATGGACAGAACGAACGAGGTAAGAATACAATAGAGGAGCACGCACATCGCTTCCAGAGACGGAAATCATACATTTTTGTTATCGCCGTTTCATTATACTTTGTAAATGGGGAGTGAGAGTGATGGGGTGATTAGACACGTGTTCTACCATTCTCAGAAACCATTTCTTAGTATATGCATTTTCATAAGACTTTCTTGTGGACGAAACCCCGACTAAATTGACAGTAGTTGAGTCTTGAAGAAAATAGTAAAATTTATTTAAAGACCGTAATACTGTGTCGGAGTATATATATACCTATTCCGATATGCCACGCCAAGTATCTGCGACAGTTTAGTTATCACCGAATTGGTATGATAATCTTAAGACAATGTTTCCTTAGATAGAACGCGTAATGTCTTGAAAAAAGGTACAATCTCCTGTATTATGATCATAAGACAATGTTTCCTTACATATGACGCGTAATGTCTTAAAAAAGGGCACGATCTCGAAAGGGGCAGATTTTAAAGTAATTTCTTTCCTTATGACTATACTCTTATTTTTACCACAAAATAAGTGAATTTCGAGATGTCCGCGCGAAAATTCATAATCACGTGGATCTAACTGATTTGAAAAAATTGTTATAAACCAATGCAATAATTTCATAAACATTACAGATGTAAGTTGGCAATCGGTCAAGGCAATGAAGTTCGCATACAGAGCACACGTCAATCTGGCTTCTTTACTTTGTTATTAAGACATGCCAGTCCTATGGTTCATTAGCAGGGCAAAATTGAATTGGTTTATTGCGTTGTCGAAATTTCACAAATGATAGATGGGCGTATGCTGGAAGCTTCTTCACGTGGTAGGTTGCGTTGTCTGTGAGCTGCCACTCCTAGTTTATTTACTTTGTTTTATTCCGTGTGGCCTTTCCTAAACCTTAAATATTTATCGCTGCATTTTATTTATGCTTCTTTAAGTCTGCCTTAAGTCAACAAACGGAATCCAGAAGAAGGTGCCTCACAACATTCCACAAAGATAAAACAGAAAAAAAATTGTATTGCGAGGTCTCCATTTAAAGCAAAGTTCCAAGCGTACTTCGATTCACACGCCTCTTGAGAGAAGTCGTAAAATGAAAACCGCCATATTGGTTCTGATTATTTTCTACTTTAAACACAACTCCGCATCTTCTTCTCGCTTAACTGGTATGTATCTTGCATGCGTTAATTTGCTGTATTTGAGATATAGCGCGTCTTCTCTGCTAGAAGGTAGGAAGGAAGGATTACCAATATGGAAAATAATCTTTTCACTCCCGGATTTTTTGTTAGATTTTAGCAACGCATTTGATTCCATAATGCACGATATTCCGTTAACAAAATCGCCAATGTATGGAATCAGAGGCACTGCATTGGCACTGATTCGTAGTTACTTATCTGCACGTTCTCAAATACACGTTCATAAATGGCACACGTTCTCAGCTTGAAACAGTTACTTTTGATGTACCACAAGGTTCTATTCTTGGTCTATTGTAATTTATCTCTGTTTGAATTGCACTGTAAATATGCCACATACACGAAATATTATTTTGTACGCAGATGACGCGAGTGTATTTTTTTCAGATTCAAACCTAACGAAGCTGGAGACTATGTCAAATGAGTGGTTAAATAATTTATTACTGGTTACAGTTCCACAAACTTCAGTTGAACACTGGTGAAACAATATATATTATTTTAAGCCAAAAAATACTAATATGAATTATCAGATCAACGCAAAGTTTGAAGGCACAATTATAGAGAACGTTAGGTCGCGTAAATATCTTGGTATTTGGTTCCATGAGAGTTTAACTTGGTCTCGACATGTGGAACACCTTCTTTCAAAGATTTCCCAATCTATTGGCATTTTGCATAGAGTTAAGCTACTCCTGCCTTGTAGGTTAAAACGTCAGCTATATGATGCATTGTTACACTCTCATCTTAACTACTGTTTATTAATTTGGGGAACAACAACAGCAACTAACCTTGACAGGTTACGAGTCCTACAGAAAAGCTATCCAGTGCATAGATAACTAGATAGTTACGCCCATACTGCTGCTTCTTCCTGAAACACCGTATTCTTTGCATCGAAAAACATTACTACTCCAGAGTGGCTCTAGAAATTTACACAGAATTTAAATACAGCGAGCCTCCATTTCTATAAAATTACCGGCAGAAAACCACAACCTATAACTTGCGTCATGAAAAATATGTTCAAAAATATTCGCACAAATTATCTCAAATTTTGTGTTACATCATCCCTAAATTTTTAAATAGATTCCCAGAAACGGTACACATAATTACTAACTGTCAATCGTCTCCAAATTTCAAAAATAAAATAAGGTCCTCAACAATAATACGTCTCCCATCCTCATCATCCTTCCTTCCTTTTACATTTGATTGTACGGTTTATAGCGCATATATCATCTAACTTTATGTTCATATATATATATATATATATATATATATATATATATATATATATATATATATATATATTAGTTTGACATAAGTCAATGCTACAAGTGGACCATTCGTTGCCCGTCTGTAATTGTGCCTATTGTTGCTCTGTTGCTCTGCTGCTGTTGCGTTGTAGCGGAGACTGGAGCCTTGTCAGGCGGCTTTGTTCGCCATTTGCTCCAGCATCCAAGACTTCTGGTCTAAATAAAGACAGAGAGAAAGTTGAAGTTATACAGCTACACTATGCTTAATATGCTATATTCAACGTATTTCATCTGGATATTGTTTCGATCTAGAATATAAACCGAAATAGGCCAAGTCGATATGGTTATTTCTTTATAAGCACCTTACAATAAAGTTCAACTCTAAATTATTTTCTCTAATTAGGAGAATGATTATATGAGACAAGCAGACGGTGCCTTCAAACGTCGATACTCCAATTCTCTTAAGTTTCTAGTTTAACTTAAAAGTGCTATTGTAACGTATTGACGCAGAGTATAGATAAATAATCAAGTAAAAAGAAAGGCTTAATCGGCATACTTGTGACGAACAAATAAAAAACGAGCGTCGAGATACCTGAATGGCGGACAGTGATTTAGCGGTGGAAAACAAAAGCGAGAGCGGGACTGCCTCGACAAGGTCCCGCGCAGCTCCTTATCTAGTGCACGTCACAATCAGGAAAATTTAGCCCAGAAGGTTCGAGCGTCCCGCGTTCGGGGTGAGGATGGACAGGCACTTTCAAAAACAAGAAAGCAGGAAGAAATAATGAAAGTCACGCCCTGAGTAAGAATAAATGCCAATCTCCAGGATCTCCGTGACCGACAGTAGCTTGCTCGGCCCTAAACGATGGGTTTTCTCTTCCTTTAAAAGTGCATCGTCCCAATAAACTAAAAAAAAATGGCAAATAAAAAATATTTTCGTGAAACGAAATAAACATCAGGCGTCGCAGTCATAACGCGCGTAAAACGGCTTCAGTCAAACTCTGTTTCCCAATTCTGGCGGCGTCCTTAAAGGGACACTGACACCCCCCAAAATTTTTTTTTAATTTTTTGCCAGGCGCTTCATTATGGTGTCGGAGGACTACCCAATTAATATTTTGCAGCAGAGTAGCGTATTTTTTTAATAAAGCCAAAAGACGCAACTGCTCGAAACCGAAACCGAAACCCGACGGAGGTCGGAGAAGTGGAGAGAAGAGAGTGAGTGGCGGAAGTCACGTGGCTACACCCGACCGTGTGTTTTTTTGTTTTTGTTTTCTCCTTCCCGGTAGCAGACGACATGCGGCGTATGGGAACTGTTCGCCGTGGGATTCTTTTGCAGTTATGTATGTTCCGCTCGTTGTTCTGTACTCCAAGATGAGTTGTTTTGTACACTGAGGAGTTGGAGATGAGTAGTGAGTGCCCGTGGTGAATCTTGATCGGCTCCGAAAAGAATACACTCAAGATGTTGCGTGAAGAGCTGGCTCACATGTCCCGCGTCCGAAACAGAAGTGGCATTGTGCGACAGAGTTTCCGAAAGATCAACGGGATCGGGACCAATGACTGGCTGCAATTCCTGTAGACCATTTACGGGCACCTCGGAAAGCGGACGCTACCTGATTTATATGCTCCTTGCATTTTGTGGAAAGTGATTACATTGAGTTCGCAGGTGTCAAAAAGGAAATCCCATACCATTTAATTCAGCGACGTGCCGTCCACATTTGTTTCTTATATTTCTTTTTTGTTTGTTTCTTCAGTAATTGTAAAAAAAAAAAACCAGAAATGTAGACATCAAAAAATAGTTGAAAAAAAAAATCGTTTTACGGGGGATCGAACCCGGTCCTACCGCGTGTGAAGCGGATGTCTTTCCCACTGAGCTACTGGGGGATATCGAAACTGCTATATCTCTTTCCTTAGTAATAATTCAGCCGATAAACTGTAAATTGGAAAGTTTTCTGCCGATTTTCCTCTAGCAAAAGCACTCCCGGGTCGAAGTCGGGATGCACCACGCATTGGCGACATTCTCACCTAGTAAAGAAATCGTACGCGTGCATATTCAACTCGAAGTAGACACGTCGCGCTTGACGTTTGCGCGAGCGATGTCTTCAACCTCAAGAAGGGAGCGACGGCTCGGCGACGTCTTCGTGCAAATCGGCTTGGTGGTCGGGCGTGTCGTACGAGATGAATACCAATTCTTTTGACCAGTCCCAAATTTCTCTTTTAAAGGCAGACAAAATTCGCCGGTACCGCGAACGACAGTTCTGAAATAAAGGTCCCACGCCCGTCGTCCGCTGCCATCGCCGTCCCCGCGAGCCCCACGATACGCGAAACGACGCACGCACAGAATGTTTCCGGTTGTCTGTGGAACTTTTTTTTCAATCAACGTATTTGCAGCTTTTTAGAAGCCGCAAAAAATGGGTTTCATATTTTTTTCTATTTTTAATATTGAGTGTGTGCCTTCAGTGACCCACGACTTTGATTAAATTTGGTGGTCGCATCGATACCTTAGAAAATGGCCCGTGACCGCGGAAAAGAGAGTGAGCGAGACTCGAACCGGCCAGTTCTTGATCGGCGGTTTTCGGGCGGAAAGAAACCGAATTTCGAGCCGCAAATTCTGTTCTGGGTAGTTGAGCTCTCATATGTCACGTTCAACTAAAAACCTCGGCGAGCATAAATACCCTGTCAGTGTCCCTTTAAGGTCGGGTTCCGTCAGGGAGCACCTCGTAGTTAATGTTACCAAGGCGGCGAATGACCTTGTAGGGTCTGAAGTCGACTTTTCAGTTTCTCACTAAGGCCGCGGCTGCGAATGGGCATTCAGGACCACTCCATGTCTCGGGGCTGGAACCCCACGTCGCGGCGACGATGGTTGTAACCGCCAGCGTCGACACGTTGTTTGTCCTTCATCCGAAACAGGCTAAATGGGATACCTCTTCTGCTCCTTGGGTGATCAGCTGGGCGTCGTCGGTGCCGTCGTCCGTCGGGTCGTGGGGCAGCATGTCGATGATCATCATCATCACTTTTTCGCCGTGCAAAAGCTGAAATGTGTAACCCCAGTGGTTTTTTGAACCGCCGTGTTGTTCACCAACGTTCGTCATACCAGGTCTTGAGTTACATGTGCACGTATACCGATATCATGCCGTCGATGTCCTTGTTTTGTCGGTCCGCCAGCCCGCTGGTCTGCGGGTGGTATGGCGGGGTTTGGCGGTGGTTGGTGTGGCTCAGTCGGGCCATGAACAATGAGCCCCGATCCGATAATCCGGACTTGGGGAGCGCTGTGTCGGAGGACGATAGACTCAACAATGAACTTGGTTATTTACACAACGGTTCCCGAAGGAAGTGCCTTTGTCTCGGCGTATTGGGAGCGATAATCAGTTGCCACAATTATCCAACGTTTTTTTTTCTGTTGACATCTGGAAAGGTCCAGTCTGCGGGGACGGTGCAGTCGGGGGCCCCATCTGCGGAAGAAGGCCTGCCGGTTTCCTCGGCGGTTTCTTCCCTCGCAGGCACTGGTGGCAACATCGTCTATAGGGGTGTCCAGTCTTTAGAAGCTAGGGTCAGTAATACGCCTCTCGGATCTTTGCAATAGTTCGGCTGTAGCCAAGGTGAGCGGATGTCGGTTCGCCGTGGCAGGCTACTCTCCAACGGCTTGTAGATAAGGCTCTAGGTCACCTCATTTTGACTATGGAACTAGTTTACCCTGAGGACATTATTCTTTATGGTAGAACATTTGAAAAACAT